AATACCATAATTCTCAACTAGATGCGGTTGGAATCACGATTTCCATCATTATTATTTTTGTCTCATGTTGTTTTCTTTCAAATTGACAATAATTTATTTTTGTCCTTTTGACTGACCATACTCTTTCACTAAATCCTATATGAAAATTCAAGGTTTGATGAATTTTTATCGTGAAATTAATGTTATTTTTAAATGCGCATCAGTATACTAGAATTGAGAATGGAAACGGGGAATGTGTCAAAGAGACAACAACCAGACCAAAGAGCAGAAAACAGCCCAAGGCCACCAATGTTTCTCCAACGCAGCGAGAAAATCCCACACCCGGAGGCAGGCTTCAGCTGGCCCATACACAATAATGTCTACTAGTTCAGCGTAATGGACGCCACACCAAACTCCGAAACATATAAATATTAAAACTAAAATTAAAAAACACACAGGACTAACTAAGGCTAGAGGTTCCTGGCTTGGACAGGCGCATGAATGCTGCGGGTTTAACATATTTTGTGTGATCTCAAACCCTCCATCTATACCTCTAGCCAATGTTGAATAAATAAACACAGAGCACAAAACTATCCAGATGCTCTTCTTGGCGGACTTGTTTTCTTAGTTCTCTTTTGCATTTCATCTTTTCATATTATTCTGTGTTCTCCTGATTTTTAGTTCTTCTATTTTGCTCTCAGTTATAAAAGGCATTTTTCTTTTTTGACATCACTTCTATTACCTTACCAGAGGCTTTCCAGTTTGGTCCTTGTAGGGAGACTTTTTTCTTGACATTTGTTTTGCTGTCTTTGGACAAGGTGTTAATGAAGTTTGATGCCTGTTCATCTGTCTGTATTTAATACTTGTTGGTCGTCAATCTGCTTCTGTAGTGTTTCTATTGTTTTCTGATATGACGATATGTCAATCTGATTAAAATGGAGATCCTGTGTCCAAGCGATGCTTTCAAGGATTTGAAAACGATCCGTTTTACTTTTCTACATTTCGGAATCCTCTGGTTTTGTCGGATTGATACACACCTTCAAAAAATTTGAAGGCTGAAATCTCATTGGCTAAGGTAATAATGACCAGAATATAGTTAAACGGAGTGCTGTCAGATCCTGATAAGCAAAGCTTGGACATTTGATCTGTATTTTAATCAAATTGGACGATATGTTAGAATCCTTCCATTTCAGAATGTTTTAGTTTTTTTGTCGAGCCTGCGGCTTTTGTCGCAGAAAGCTCGACATAGGGATAGTGATCCGGCGGCGGCGTTAACTAACTTCTTAAAAGCATAATATGTCAGAAGGTAGAAGACCTGGATGCTTCATACTTTGTATATAGATGCCTTATGGTATGAAGTTTCCGTCTGTCATATGTCCATTGTCCTTGACCTCATTTTTATGGTTCAGTGACTACTTGAAAAAAAAGTTAAGATTTTTTGTAATGTTAATTTCTCTCAGCTTATTATGAGTAATAGGATAACTATATTTGGTATGTGCGTACCTTGCAAGGTCCTCATGCCTGTCAGACAATTTTCACTTGACCTCGACCTCATTTCATGGATCAGTGAACAAGGTTAAGTTTTCGTGGTCAAGTCCATATCTGAGATACTATAAGCAATAGGTCTACTATATTTGGTGTATGTAATGATAGTAAGGTGTACATGTCCAACTGGCAGGTGTCATCTGACCTTGACCTCATTTTCATGGTTCAGTGGTCATAGTTTAGTTTTTGTGTTTTGGTCTGTTTTTCTAATACTGTATGCAATAGGTCAACTATATTTGGTGTATGGAAATATTTTACGATGTACATGTCAGTCTGGCAGGTTTTTTTTTTACCTTGACCTCATTTTCACGGTTCATTGCTCAATGTTAAGTTTTTGTGTTTTGGTCTGTTTTTCTAATACTGTATGCAATAGGTCAACTATATTTGGTGTATGGAAATATTCAATGATGTACATGTCAATCTGGCAGGTTTTATTTGACCTTGACCTCATTTTCATGGTTCATTGCTTATGTTAAGTTTTTGTGTTTTGGTCTGTTTTTCTTAAACTTTAAGCAATAGGTCAACTATATTTGGTGTATGGAATGATTGTAAGGTGTATATGTCTGTCTGGCAGGTATCATCTGACTTTCACCTCATTTTCATGATTGATTGGTCAATGTTCAGTTTTCCTGGTTAACTTTTTTTCTTAGAAACCTTAAGCAATAGGTCAACTATATTTGATGCATGGAATGATTTTAAGGTGTACATGTCTGTCTGGCAGGGTTCAAATGACCTTGACTTCATTTTCATGGTTCATTTGTCAGTATAGAATTTCCATGGTTTGGTCTGTTTCTTTTATACTATAAGCAATAGGTCATCTATATTCTGTGTATGGAGGGATTGTATTAAAGGTGTACATGTATTTCTGGCTTGGTTTATCTGACCTTGACCTCATTTTCTTGGATCATAAATGTTAATGTGATACTTGTAGTAAAACTTTACATGTAGGACTATCAACATGAAATCAACGGTCAGTATAGTAGGCGAGACATTTCAGCGTGTGCACTCTTGTTTGTTTTGACCCTATTCCCTTTGATCTTATCAAATTCTATTGACATACATGTATTAGTTTTTGCTCTTATTAGAAAGTGGGCTGATCCATTTAGATGGAATTGACCTTCTATTGCTGTGTTCCTAATGTATCTTTACCACTTTTTCCAGGATATAGTCCATTTTTCAGCATGATTTTCCTTAATGGTGGTAAAAGATAGAACATTGACTGTTTTAACATGATGTTTTCTACATAACTCCTTCAGAAGTTTATCATGGTTGTTATTCATTGTTGATATTAGTTATCCGTTTAGATTGACAATTACAATACTACTATGCGAGTCATCATATTTGCCTACTTTTGATTAGATTTATTTCCAGATATTCTTTATATTGAGATATGTCATCGTGTTGGCAAATAATTGTTGATTAGGATAATTACTGTACGAATTTATGCAATTACCACAATGCTTTTCTCTTTTTCAAGTTTTTTTTTAATTTTGTGCGAAAATGTTTTGTGCGATAGAGTTATAACACCCCTTTTCTCTTCTACCGATATCAATATCATTATCATCAAAACATGAGACGTGGTAGTCATAATCGGGGACAATCTTCTGCAGTATATATTGGTTTCATTCGAGTCCGTGTAGACATAGAATATTTGAATAAGATTGAGAATGGAAAGGGGGAATGTGTCAGAGACAACAACCCGACCAAAGAGTAGAAAACAGCCCATGGCTACCAATAAGTCTTCAACTCAGCGAGATAATCCCGCACCCGGAGGCGGGCTTCAGCTGGCCCCTAAACAATAATGTATACTAGTTCAGCGAAATGGACGCCACACTAAACTCTGAAACATATAAATGAACAAAAAATTAAGAAAAACACACAAGACGATCAAAGGCTAGAGGTGATTGACTTGGAACAGGCGCATGATACGCCCGTCGATTTTTCAAAGAATAAAGTTCCATAACTCCTCAATGTCATATGAGAAATTTATTAAAAAAAACTAAAGGGAGGTCATTTTAGTAGATATAAACCAGTCACCAAATTTTCATGAAAACTGCTCAAAGAACTTTTGAGTGATTGTCCGAAAACTGGAAAATCCTTCTTTTTTAATGAATGAAACCCCACAACTCAGAAACGTAAAATCGAAATTTTATATAAATCGAATGGGAGCTCACGTCAATAGATATAAACAATTTACCAAAGTTTCATGAAAACTGCTCACAGCATTTTTGAGGTATTATCCGAAAAATGGAAAATCCCCGTTTTTAATGAATAAAATTCCATAACTCGGAAACGTAAAATCCTAAATTTATGAAAATCGAAAGGGAGCTCACGTCAATAGATATAAACAATTCACCAAAGTTTCAAGCAAATTGTTTAAAGCGTTTTTGAGTTATTGTTCGATATGGTGACGCGGACGGACGGACGGATGGACAACAGTATGCCATAATACGTCCCGTAAACGGGCTTTTAAAATTAGTTAATAGATGAATAGTTCTTTTCCATATTGTTTTCTGTAGAAGCCTTCGGTTGTGGCGGATTTCTCGTCCCGCGTTGTTCTGTATATAGCTTGTGTTCTTTCCTGAGCTGAAGCTATTTTCGAGAAGGTCGTTTAGGATTTAATTTGCTCTGATTCATATATGGTGGTGGTAGTAGAATTTACTGCTTGGTTTATTTCTAATGGTGCTTAATTGTGGCTTCTGTATTTGCCCTGGGTTGCAGCTGTGGCAAATGTTTATATTTTATTCGGTACCATACTTTGTGTTGGTATTTGATTAGCTGGTTTTACTGCTGTCTGTTCAAGTTAAAGATAGTTGGTACAGCTGTTGGATAATTTCACGTCTTGTTGGATGTTATTTGGTTGATTTCTGTCTTGTTTTAATTTTGATCCTGTTTGTTGCGTTTGTAGCATCAAGTGTGATAAAGACTACTGGTTGTATTTAGGAACATGAGCTGGATCATTCGTTGTTCAACCTGTTTCCCTCTCATTTCAAGCATAGTACGATCAATCTGATACATTACCTCGTGAATATTCATCATAACTTATAATACAAAAAAACTGCAAGTAAATAATTTTAACCCGGTTACAATGTTTAAGCTGAGACTAATACAGTGAATTTATCTCTTTCGAGTCCTAGGTCCAATATATGAAACTTTTATTATAAATACAGCCATTTTAATCTGGGAATAGTATATATTACAATAAATACATATGATCTAGGAGTATACAAATGTACAATATATAGTACTGTCCCAGTTATAATACAGAATTTATATGATTTTTACAATTATTCAAGTAGCCTTAAAAGTGGCTCTGTCATATTTGTATAACCAAGGATTTTTCTTTGATATATTATATAATATTCCAATTGATATTTATATAAAATACCTTATCCGAATATATACGCGTATGTTTCGTTTTGTAAAAATTACAAGTAAAATTTATTGATTTCTTTTTCTGTGCACATGTGACCACAGTTTCCATGACGTCATAGACACTGCACAACTGGGTCGTGCTTGGCAACCGATCCTCCATACTGTCTTAAAAAATAGCAACAGATGTGTTTTTGGGATATAATTTGATGCCAGACAGTAATTCTACATCTCATTGACCATGTAAACAACAAATTTGAGGTGAGATCATTGAATGATTAACAAATGAAGACAAAATTGGTCTCCAGGCAAAATCTCAGGGTCATAAACAATCAGGAGGGGGGAAAATGTCAACACGAGTCAAACCCCTGCCTATTCAACCACTCTCGGTTCAAAGAACAAGGTCCATGCTGACCACTGGCGATATGTATTCTCATCAAACAACAATAGATGCAGCCCAACATTTACCACCCCTTACAAGTCAAACTGTAGGGGGTGGGGGTGCCCATAGTGCCCACATAGCGAGTGGCGTGAAGGTGCAGCAGTTATATGAAGACCACAAACATCACTCGCATTCAAAACATCATGGACAGCATACAGGAGATTCATCTAAAGATTCCAATGTTGTAGCACGTCCAAGTTCAAGTGCAGGAAGTATTGGGAGCAAAGGCGGTTCCGCAGCCCGACGTAACACTGCATGGAGTCCAGAATCGGCAATGAAACAGTTTATGCATAAATTGACATCTTTCGAGCATCATGAAATTTTTAATTTTCCGTCTGTCTTTTTCGTGGGACAAAATGCAAAGAAAAGGCAAGGTGTTGTAGGCGGTGCAAACAACAATGGTTATGATGATGACCAAGGCTCCTATATTCATGTTCCACATGATCATATAGCATATCGTTACGAAGTATTAAAAGTAATAGGAAAAGGAAGCTTTGGTCAAGTAGTAAAGGCATATGATCATAAAGTAGCTCAGCATATTGCTTTAAAAATGGTCCGTAATGAAAAACGCTTTCACCGACAAGCACAAGAAGAAATTAGAATTTTAGAGCACCTTAAAAAGCAAGACAAGGACAATACTATGAACATAGTTCATATGTTAGAACATTTTTCATTCCGTAATCACATATGTATTACATTTGAATTACTTAGTATGAACTTGTATGAACTCATTAAGAAAAATAAATTCCAGGGATTCAGTTTACAACTCGTTAGAAAGTTTGCTCACTCAATTTTGCAGTGTTTAGATGCATTGTATAAAAATAGAATCATTCATTGTGACCTTAAACCAGAGAACATTCTTTTGAAACAGCAGGGTCGTAGTGGAATTAAAGTAATAGACTTTGGTTCAAGTTGTTATGAACATCAACGTATATACACATACATTCAGTCTAGGTTTTATAGAGCACCTGAAGTGATTCTCGGTGCAAAGTACGGAATGCCTATAGATATGTGGAGTTTAGGATGTATCTTAGCAGAATTGTTAACAGGATATCCACTGTTTCCAGGAGAAGATGAAGGTGATCAATTAGCTTGCATTGTTGAACTGAATGGCATGCCACCCCAAAAGTTATTAGATCAGTCAAAGAGAGCACGTAATTTTATCAGTTCAAAAGGGTATCCAAGATACTGTACAGTTACAACATTACCTGATGGCAGCACTGTACTGAATGGTGGACGGTCAAGAAGAGGAAAACCTAGAGGTCCTCCTAATAGTAAAGATCTGGTAACTGCATTGAAAGGATGTGAAGATCCATTGTTTTCTGATTTTATGAAGAGATGTTTAGATTGGGATCCATCAACCCGAATGACCCCAGGTCAGGCATTGCGACATCCGTGGTTGAGACGAAGGTTGCCAAAACCACCACCAAATGAAGTAAGAACCGACTCTGCTTCACGAAGGAAGACATCTACAGCTAATACTGCAAGTGTAATAATTTCAAAAGGGCCACAAAGTGGAAATTCAAGTAGCAAAGGACGAAACCCAGTAACTTATGATGAAATGTCGGCTCCGATGCCCCCTCGAACAAAACTGCCACAAATAGGATCAACAACGTAGAGATTATCTTTTACAAGTATTGTGATGCAAAATTTTGTGAATTGCCGTCCAAAATTTCTTGATCTAGTGTTTTAACAGATCATCATGCACCCTAAATTTATTGCCTGATGTTCAGTAATAAATGATTGTGTGATTCACTTTATATTCTGGAAAGCCAAATTCTGTTCATGGTTGAAAGTCCAAGTATATTATATGCACCAGTATAACTGAACAAGTCTGGAGTATTTAAGTCCATAGATATATTCATGTGTGTGTATGCAAATGATATAGTAACTGAAACAGTTTCTTTTACTTGTTAAGTCTTTGGATAGTGTTGAGAGATATATGCTTCATCAGAAAAATCCAGGAGTTTTTATTCAATATAAGCCTTTCTGTGATCAGCATTGTTATTTTAACATTTTGACTGAAGGCTGTATTTATTTGAAACCATGTGATGTACTGTGAGTGCTACTTTGATTATTAATAACTTATTGTTTGTTTTATTTCAGAATGCTATAAGGCTCCAATTTTTCTTGTAATATCTCTTTTTATAAAAATATTTTGGATTATGATATATGTATTGACGTGACCAACATGTATTTGGTGAAAAGAAACACCAAGATTATTCTTTAACTTCCTGCATAAAAGAAATGTTGTTGTCACTACATGCAAAGAGAAAATTTAAAATACAAACAAAACAGGTATTGTCATTTTGTAACTAAACACCACTGTCTTAATTCAACCTATTTTGTATTTTTATTTTATTATATGTTGGTGTAATCATAGCTAAGTATTGTCAACTTGACCCTGATAACTTTGAAATGTGATGTTTCAAAAAGAATGTGCTTTAAAAATCCCCAGATATACTAGATATTTCCTCAAATGACGACATAAAATTATAAAAATACAGTGAAATATTTGGCATTATTATAAACATATTATTGTTGACTTTTAAATAGGAAATGTATACATTTTATACATTCATATCTGTTGGCCCTATCTATAATTTGCAGTATACATGTATTGTATTTGACATAAATTGCAATGAAAAAAATGCAGTTATTTTATAAGCTTACTTTACTAAACTGAAATGCATATTGGAAAATTATTATTTCTTTAATATATTGGAAAATTGTTATCAGCTATAAAAAGTCAACTATGTGAAAATTTAATTTTGGTTCTTTCTTAAAAAAAAAATGAAAAAAAATCTTTGAATTAATGAGAGGCCAGTCTCAAAGGGTAAATTAATTGTGAATAGACCAAAATCATGCCATTTTTTTTAATTCAAATGATGATTCATTGTTGCCAAACTACCCCTGCTTGTTGATATGTGCATGTAAATACACAACTGGTTTTCATCAGTAAGGTTAATAATATCCCCAATGGCATTGCTGTCTATATGATATCCACAAATTGTCTGTCAAAGAAATACAGGTCATGAGTAACAAGACCAGAATTCAGACATATTGATCTAGGTACATAGGTTAGAAATCAATATCTGTGCATATTTGAACTAAGCATGGAAGTATTACCATACATTTTCATTTGACCAGCAACTAACCTTCATTCCTATTTTATTTGTATTTTTGTTTAGTACAAAGTCATTTCATATGAACAGTAATTAAACGATCAATTGCTGGGAAAACACAATCGACAGAAATAATTGTTGTCCAACATCGTTTAATACTATAGCATAAAAAATTACTTTTTTTTCTAAATAAAAGCATTTATATCTAAATATGAAGATGAAACATTAAATTTTAGTTATAAATTTGTGTAATGGGATGTGCTTAACACAGCTGTTTTATTTAGGATGTTTTTTTTTAGGAAGAGATTTTTTAAACTTGACAAATTTTTGTACAAAACTTTTTTCAAACCAGGGATATGCTTTATAGGGTACTTTTTCTTGGATACATTTCATACATACAGTTTCAGATGTATATATACTCAGGTATAACTTTTTATAAATGCACACCCCTTTCAAAATCTCACCAATCATTTTTCACTTTTTCTAAATAAAAACAGAGAAACTTAAGATTTTGACGCATAGTTTAAAGACATGACTTTCAGAAGAAATAAAACAATTGAATGAAAATTTTTATCATTATTCAAATTTGGTTAATACCCGACATAATATATATATATAGATTGTGTGTTGTTGTGTTGTTCTACTTCTCACTGCCATGTTTTTATCTTGAGATATAAATAGAAGTGTGTACTACAGAGTGTTTTAAGTTGCTGTGGCATTTACATGTATACTACTATACCAGTTCAGAATTTTAGCAATGACTTTTAGATGTCCTTGAAAGTATTTTATTTTTTTTCTGTTTCCATAAAGATATTTGCAGTAAATAAGTAATTAATACATCTCCAGAATTTCATATACATTTTGTACATGTGTTGGTTAATCTTTCACAAAAAAAATATTGAGAAAAAGTCAAGATAATTTTACACAAAAAATGCTACTGGTTTACATTTGCATATCCCATTATGCAATCTCATAACATTCAGTATATATTATATATATTCTAATTTAATACTTTTATTAATAAGCATATCGGTGCAATGAATACAGTTATATGATTTGTATTGAGTCAACAATATTTTAATTTGATATTTCTATAGATGAGTCAAAGGGACATGATTTAAAAATGTGTTTCTACTACAAAAGCTACAGGCTTCATGTTTTGAAACTCTTGCCTTTAATATATTTAGCTGGATATGGTGAGGAAGTAGAATTGATATCTGGACAGTGATTTATCTGACCTGTACCAGATTAATTGAACATAGATTCTCTTGGTTCTGTCTTTATCATGAGAGAAGTTATTTGGATGTAATTAATTCCTTGTGATATTTCACAGTCAAATAGTTGATTACAAGTCTAGTGGGTGGGCATGTCTGTTATATCAATAAGTAATGCTTAATGGCAAAGTAATATACTCTGGGTCAATAAAAAACATATTGCTACTGTTAGGTAAGCTATGGAGGTTTATTATTATATATGACACTCATTTGCTGTAATGAAGTGCAGTTGATATTTACTTAGTCTTTGGTTTGTAATAATGACGTTTTATACTGTCCTTGATAAATCAGTATTGATAAAGCATTCGTCATGTTATTTTGTTAAGATCAGGCAAGTTTGTCAGTATAATCCTCCACCGCTAATAAGAACAAATTTTTTTTTCAATAAAAAGTGGATAATAAGGAAAAGGGGCTGTCTACTAACAATCGTTCTAAACTGGGTAAAACTGTCTACCACAAGATGTTTAATACATGTATCACGATCAAAAGTTAAGGTCAGTTGACATTGTGTTGCAATGGGTTGTGCTTTGCTTTTCAACACTGTTTGGGTTTTATTTAAAAATCATTGAAATTTCTTCAATGGTTCAATACATTCAACAACTGGGTCCATATGTTTTACACATAAAGTGCAAATGTGTTTGGTGAAACAGTTCCTGAAAGTATGACAGAAGATTTAAAATATACTAGTCCATCAGTATTATAAATAATGTTCATTGCTATAAATTCTTGTCATACATGTGCATGAGGGATGATGTGTGTAGTGTATTATGCTTCCTTAATTTGTACTGTAAATTTTAACTTTAAACCTGATACAAAAATATGTTTGCATAATGATTTGGGAAAAGGGTGGTTCTTACTCCCTACGTTTTATTTTAAGAAAAAGTGCAACATCACATTTTTATATTTTCATATTTTTTAATAGAGGGGAAAGCTTATAATTAGTTGTACATTAAAAATATTTCAAAATTCTTTTAAACCAAAATTTTTTTTTAACTTGTTAGAAATGACAGTGTATAAATCCATTGTCTTGTAATTTTTCTGGTTTTAAGTTAAAAGATTTCTTTGTTGTTCTTTTAGTGTCATTCTCTGCATTTTTTATTAGAACTTATTATGGTAGAATGTATTTTTTTTAAACGCATATCTTTTGTTTCTGGATCACAGAGCCTTTTAATTATATGTAATTTTACCCTAATCAGTTTTGGATAAAAGCTTCAATGACACTTTATATCTAGTCAATGTTGAGAAGTACCCATGCTGTTACATAGTTCTATTCAATAGGTTAAGATGTAGTTTTATTTTATATGAAAGAGCACTGGTAAGGCTGGTTAACACAATGTTCTCATAAACTTGTGACTTACATGTAATGCAGAGAATGGCACATGGTGTAAAGCATTGGTTGTGAGTGAATACATGTATGAGTCTGAATTGTTTTATATGTTATTTGTGTTTTTTAAGTCGTTATTTTATATTTTACCAATATTTTTAAACATATTTTTTATTTGTATATACAAATTTTGTTTAAAAGAAAATCAGGATTTATAAATATTGTAAATAGCTCTATTGCAATCTTTCTTATATTGTTCAATTGAAGTGTGATGTTTACTTGTTTGAAACTAGACTGTCAAATTCTTACACATCTTTGTTTTTTAAAAACGACAAAAATCCTGCAGATTTTTAACTTGATGAAACTCATTTTTGTAACAGTGACTCTGTATCGTTATATTAACAGAAGTGTAATGAAGTCAAAAATATGTATATTAAAATGACACAACATATAATTATCTTCTTTTTTTAGGAGCCAAACAATAATGGCATGGCCGTAAAAAATATATCCAGTTTATAACATTTATGGCTCGAAACTATATTTGCAATCACTTGGCATCCATGTGGTCCATCGTAATTATCTGTTTACTTTAACAAAACAGTTTTCCTCAGAAACAACTGAGCCAATGATCGTTTGGGTATCTAGTTATCATCAATTTCCAAATGATCCTGCCCCATCTAAAATGACCAACTTTGCTATAAATAGCACATTGGGGGTAAAATGCAAGTTTTGTCTATCATCTTTTTTAGAAGTTCTGGTCCTTGAATTATGATTTTTACCTTTTTTTTTCATTTTACCTAATACTATAGAGAAAAGGTAAACTTTAAAAAGGTAAAATGATCAGCATAACAAGATCTTCAAATATATCAACATGGCCAAAATAGTCAGTAGATTCCTTTTTGAAGTTATTGCTCTTTGATAAAATTTAGTGGATAAAGAAAAAATGTACACAGCTAAAATGATCAGCAAGACAAGATCTACAAATTAATCCACCCAGAGTTCTCGAAATCTTTTTTTGCCTGGTGGTCCTTGAAGAAAATATGCAGGTCCTCACTATCATTTCTATTGCAAATTACCAAAATTGTGTTGGTCCTTCCCAAAAATGTGGTGGTCAAATCCCTAGGACCATGACTTATCGAGAACTCTGATCCACATGCCTAAAACCTTTTTGCCTATTATCTTGAAAACTACAATAGATACAGAGAAACTTCAAATAGTAAAAATGACCAGATCTACAAATATGTCAACATGTCCCAAATATTGTCAGTCTCCCCTTGAGGAGTTCTTGCTATGTAATGGTGATTTTGACGCATTTTTGGTAATAACCAGTAGATAAAGAAAAACTACAAACAGCCTAAATGATATACATGTAAAAGTAAGACAACATCTACAAAAGTCATCATAGCAGAAATTGTCAATAAACTCTTTATAGAGTTATTGCTGCTAAGAGACTATTTTTATACCCCTGCCGTAGCTGAGGGGGCATTAAGTTTTACCCTTGTCCGTCTGTACGTACGTCCCAAAGTTGGTTTCCGTTCTCTAACTTTGCCTCAACCAAATGTTATGAAACTTATACACAATGCTTATTACCACAAAACACAGATCAAGTTTGAATTTGGTGGCGTCACTTTAACCGTTCTAGAGTTATGCCCCTTTACAAATGGAAAAATTGCTGAATTTTTTGTTTCCGTTCTCTAACTTTAGTTGGCCTCGACCAAATGTTATGAAACTTATACACAATGCTTATTACCACAAAACACAGATCAAGTTTGAATTTTGGTGGTGTCACTATAACTGTTCTAGAGTTATGCCCCTTTACAAATGGAAAAATTGCTGAATTTTTCGTTTCTGTTCTCTAACTTTAGTTGGCCTCAACCAAATATTATGAAACTTATACACAATACTTATTACCACAAAACTCAGATCAAGTACAATTTGGGTAAGTGTCACTTTTACCGTTCTTCAGTTATGTGCCTTTATAACTTTATATGATGTGCAAGCGGGGGCATCATCTGTGTCCCATGGACACATTCCCAATTTATTTTGTCTCACTTTGACCGAGTCAAAAAGTGAGACTTAGGTATGCTGTTTCTGGCTGCAGTGTCAACAATTTATTGGTTTGTGATCAGGTCATTTTAAGAGAAACATGAATGGTAAATGGTATACAGTTGTGTAAACATTTGCACATCTCATTTCCATGGAGAAATTATTTGTCCCCACCCTTGTCCCCACCCCTTAGTCGTGGTCTATTAACCGAAACCTTTTGCATACTTTAGTTAAATGTTGAAGTTTGTGATTAGGTCAGTGTCAGGGGGACCACTTATGATAAGTGAATGATTGATATTTAGTATGCAGTTGTATAAGACTTGGCAGATCTCATTTCCATGGAGATTATTTGTCCCTTTTCCTTAGTCAGGATCATTGACTTTGAAACTTTTGCATAGAAAATGTATACATATTAAAGTTTGTGATTAGGTCAGTTTAAGGGGAACCACTATAATAATGATATTTAGAAAGCAGTTGCATTAACATTGGAATATCTTATATTTTAGAAATTATTTGGCCCTATTCCTTCTGTCACAGTTCTTTGGCTGAGTATTTTGCATAATTTACATGTTAAAGTTTCAAAATTTGCATTTTATTATCCAAATTATATACAGGCGAGACCTAGTTTATGTTCCCCTTTTTTACTTTTTTGGCAAAAACTTTAGAAGATGGAGAGAAACTGTAAAAAGCAAATAAGGTTTAACAAGAGAAGATCTACAAATAGATCATGAAAAAAGCCAAAATTGTTTGTCCACTTCTTGTAGCAGTTATTGATTGCTCTTGAATGGCGTTTTTTACCCAGTTTTTTGTTGTTTTTGTCAAAACTGTAGTCAGTGGGTAGACATTGTAATCGTTAAAATATCATCTATAATACAAGATAAAAAAATAGAGATATCTGTCATGAATTACATTCATATTGGAGAGTAGCCATTGTTAAAGATGCACATAAATCCAGGTGTGCAACACAGTCTCTTTAGGACTTCTAGGGAATTTTTGTTTTAAGGAAATGTTAAGTGCTGATAAGTTTAGCCCTTTCCGACCTATTTTTAGCTCACCTGATCGGAAACGTCTCATCACTTTTCGTTCGTTGTCTTTCTCTTAACTTTTACAAAAATTCTCTGAAACTACTGGAACCAAACTTGATCAAAATTATCATAGTTTGTATTGGTTAAAAAATGTGTCCGATTATCCTGCCTGTCAGTAGAAATTTTCAGAATGTTGGGATCTACCTACTGCCCATTTAAATCATAACTGTCAAACGACTTGTTAAAGAGTGGTTGCCCTTAAAAAAACATTTTACAATTTTTGTCTTGCCTTGACGGAGTCAAAAAGCGAGACATAGGTATGCTGTTTCCGGCATCGGCACATCTCATTTCCATGGAGATTGTTTAGCCCTGTACCTTCAGTCATGGTTCATTGACTTTAAATATTTGCATAACTTACACGTTAAAGTATTGCTATTTTAATTTCTCTGTGTTAACAGTTTATTATCTTATTTTTTAAATTTTATCTTGAAAACTATAATAGATACAGAGAGATCCACAAATTGATGAAAATGGTCTAGTTATTTTCCTTGACGATTTTTATCATTTCTTAATCCAGTGGTTGTTTGCTGCCAGTCATTATTTTTTTTATCGTAATCGTGCTTACTTTATGGTAAGAGTTTTGCTCATTGTTAAAGAGCTTGCGATGACCTCCTGTTTTGTCCTTGATCTCACTTTCATCAATTCACGATCACCTTGGTTTCTGCTGTAGCGTACTCTCCACGGCGTGTCGGTCTAAGTGTATTCAAATTTCATTCACATTTTATCCTTCTGAAAATGTATATACTAATTACTTCTTGACGTAACTTGGCATTATACATCTATTATTCAATCATTTTCAAACTCCAATTTGTGCTTAAAATGCATGCAATATTTTCAACTGGACTTTAAACAAACCATAATCAATCAATCCAGTGGGGAAAAAATAAGCGTAGGTTTACTACCAGGTGATTATGAGCAAATTTTTAATCTATTATATGGAAAACCGCTACAGATTTAGGAAATCTGACAGGCTGGCATAGAAATGTTAAGTGTCCAATTACATCAAAACTAAGACAACTTCTTATAGAAATTATTGCCCTTAAATGTCGAATTTTATTTTTTTTTATGCTCCTCATTTTGAAAACTATATTTGATATAGAGAAAAATTATCAGCAAGACAAGATCTACAAAAAAGTAAACCTAGCCAAATCGACAGTCGACTCCTTATTGGAGTTATTGCCCTTTAATGAAGATTTTTATCAATCTTTTGCGTGTTTACCCATTGTCTAGAACACTATAATTGATAGATCAAATCAAATCAATTTTATTGGTGTAAAATCCAAGTATTTGATTGTTATACCAAGACAAACATGACAATATTTACAAACATACAATAATTAAAGTCTAAATTACAAGTCTAGTGGGTGGGCATGTCTGTTATATCAATAAGTAATGCTTAATGGCAAAGTAATATACTCTGGGTCAATAAAAAACATATTGCTACTGTTAGGTAAGCTATGGAGGTTTATTATTATATATGACACTCATTTGCTGTAATGAAGTGCAGTTGATATTTACTTAGTCTTTGGTTTGTAATAATGACGTTTTATACTGTCCTTGATAAATCAGTATTGATAAAGCATTCGTCATGTTATTTTGTTAAGATCAGGCAAGTTTGTCAGTATAATCCTCCACCGCTAATAAGAACAAATTTTTTTTTCAATAAAAAGTGGATAATAAGGAAAAGGGGCTGTCTACTAACAATCGTTCTAAACTGGGTAAAACTGTCTACCACAAGATGTTTAATACATGTATCACGATCAAAAGTTAAGGTCAGTTGACATTGTGTTGCAATGGGTTGTGCTTTGCTTTTCAACACTGTTTGGGTTTTATTTAAAAATCATTGAAATTTCTTCAATGGTTCAATACATTCAACAACTGGGTCCATATGTTTTACACATAAAGTGCAAATGTGTTTGGTGAAACAGTTCCTGAAAGTATGACAGAAGATTTAAAATATACTAGTCCATCAGTATTATAAATAATGTTCATTGCTATAAATTCTTGTCATACATGTGCATGAGGGATGATGTGTGTAGTGTATTATGCTTCCTTAATTTGTACTGTAAATTTTAACTTTAAACCTGATACAAAAATATGTTTGCATAATGATTTGGGAAAAGGGTGGTTCTTACTCCCTACGTTTTATTTTAAGAAAAAGTGCAACATCACATTTTTATATTTTCATATTTTTTAATAGAGGGGAAAGCTTATAATTAGTTGTACATTAAAAATATTTCAAAATTCTTTTAAACCAAAATTTTTTTTTAACTTGTTAGAAATGACAGTGTATAAATCCATTGTCTTGTAATTTTTCTGGTTT